TTTAATGTTAATATAATTCTATTTTAGGATAAGCTATTGGTGTTTATATTCTTAGGTTTTTTCAAAGTTTATAATAATATGGCTTGAATGTTTAATTAATAGTTAAGAAAATAATTTTAATCGACTAGTAATTTATTTGCGTTTATATTTCTATAATTTTTTTACATATCACATATATTCATATAAATAAAGCGAATTATCTAAGAAAGTTCGGTTTATTCAGTTCGGTTCGGTTTTTAAAAGTAAAACCAAAACGGAACCAAACACTAACGGTTCGATTCGGTTTTTTTACATTCGGTTTCGGTTTTTTCGGTTCGGTTTTTTTTCTAGCTCGTTTCGATCGATTTCGGTTCGGTTTGCGGTTTTCGGTTTTCCCAACCCAGCCCTAATATATATATATATATATATATATATATATATATATATATATATATATATATATATATATATATATATATATATATATATATATTAGGGTTTAAAATATTGAGCTCGTGTTTTGATACATTTTCTATGTTTTAGTTCATGTGATTTTTCTTTTCTTTTCTTTTCAAGTAATTCAAAAATGGTGATATCGCATTATTGCATAATTGAAACGTAATTTTTTTGACAACTTGAAATAAAAGGGCAATACAAACCACACAATATATTACAGAGTACTTAAAAGGAATATATAACGAGCCAAACATAGTAAACTATTTATTTTATTGAGCTACTACAAATTTTCTTTTTGATTCTTTCCACAAAAGGTTTAAACTTCCTATTTACAAAAGAAATCGTGTAGCTCATATTACATATCCATATCTTCTATGTATGGATTTTAACAATAAATTCATTTTATTTCACTTTAATTTTACTTGATTAATTTTAGTTTACTTTCAATTCAATTTACTTAGAAAATCAGTGTATATTTAGAAAATAAAATCTACCCCGAGTATATATCTAAAAACTACTCTGCAAATGAAAATCTTTACAAAATAAAATACTTACGACATTACTATAAAGTTTTATTAAACGACCTAGTAACAAAAGTACGCGCGCAAAAAATAATGACTAAAACATAATGACTTTCTCAATATAGGACCATATGTTTTTATTTCTCAATGTAGGATCATTGGTCATTATCTAGTAGTCATTATTCAACTAAATGTCCGGCATAATTTGGACATTATTGTTCTCACTAGTCATTACTAAGTCCTATATTGGGAAATGATTTATGTTTTAGTCTTATTCAGTGCAAATTTTACAAAATAAAGCTCGAGAGATATAGACCGAATAAAAAAATTTAAATATATAGAGGGTAATTTCGCATGTGTGTTGGAAACAAATTTAGTATGAAATTTACTGCGGTGGATGAACAATTATGTCATGTATAAAATTAGCAAATTACTATTTACTAGTTATAATTAACGTATATAAATCCCACAATTCTCCTATGTCCAGTAATTGTATAGCTAGACAGCATAGTAGAGTAGTGTTATAAAAAAAATTAGAGATATATAAATATATACTTAATTATTATTAAAAGATAAATAATAATAATGGTGGCTTACAATAGTGTTGTGTTTAGGCGCCTAATTATTATGGTTTTAGTATGTGTAGCAGTGCATGGAGGTGAAGGGCGGATAGGGAGGACTTATAATGTGCTTCGTTTTGGTGCTCTTCCTGATGGCAAAACTGATTTTAGCCAGGTTGGTGTATGTGTGCGTTTGATTGTGTTTACACTACTCGTAACGTTCCGTTTGGTACACAGAATTCGAACTGTGGAATTAGAATTAAGAACAACAATTCTAATTCTGCTGTTTGGTATCGCAAAAATATGTGGATTTGGAATTGGTAGTGCCAAAAAATAAATTGGATTAGAGATTTTAATTCTATCTGAATCAATTTCAAAGAATTTCAACTCGATCTCTATTCAATTCCAATTCCGCTAATTGTGTGTACCAAACGGACCCGTATAAGAAATGTACATATAGTACACACTAAAACTTTAAGCTTACACTCTGCTTTGTCTGTGAAAGTTTTCGTTCTCAATTTATTTAATTTTTTTAGCCGAAAGATATCTTTTTATTATGTTTTTTTAATATTGAAATAAAACCCTCAAGATCACTTTTTTTATTTAATACTCCCTCTATCCCATGAAACATGGGATGTTTTGTTTTTTGAAAAGATTTAAGGAAGTGTATTTTGGTATTGAATTTCCAAAAATGTCCTTTGATGTGATGGGTAAAAGTAGAATTTGATGGGTAGATTATTAGTAAAAAGGTATGATGTGATAGGTAAGGTATGAAAAAGTAAGGGGTAAAAGTGACTTTTTAATAGAAATGAGAAGTGTTTTATAGGACGGATGAAAAAAGAAAGGAGAAAGGTTTTATGGGACGGAGGAGTAATTATTATAGTCCATCCACTTCAATTAACATACTCCACTCACTATTAAGGGTACATAAAGTGAACATTCACATTGTTTTCGGATCTACTCTTCTTAAAATGTCCGAAAAGTCAATCCAAAAATATTATTAACTACGAAAGTTATAATATAGAAAGAAAAATATGAAATAGAATGAGTATGTTTTAGTCCTACTTAAATATGATTATTTTTCTTTATTGGGACTTTAGTGTGCTACCTTTGGATAATTTTAGTATATAAATATACTGTCACTTTCCCACAATTTGTTAAGTGTGCAAAATTGACTTTCGGAATCAAAAAAGTTTGTTTAGTTTATTTGTTACACGTCCAAAATTCATACCTCCCATGTCCCCAAATTAAAATCATATAGTTTCGATCACATCGCGGTTTTAAAAAAATGTTAAAAAATAAATAGTATGTGGTATCAATTTATTACGATCTTTTTTTAAAGGAAAAATTATCTCAAATAATCCCACCTTTTAGTGCTCTTTCAAAAATAATCCTACTTTTCATTCTCACCAGAAATAATACCACCTTCCCGCATATGTGTGAGTTTTGGATCGCCGTTAAAAAACTAACGGTCACGTAACGGAAATTTTGAAAAATGCCCGTTTTTCGCAAATAAATGAAAGGTGGGATTATTTTAGGTAAATTCGCCCTTTTTCGTTTTTTAATTTCTTTAAATGTATTTTTATTTTATTTTTTTGGAAAAAATACCAAATATAAGTGTTTTTAGAGTGAAACTAATTGTTTTTTTTCAATAACCAATAATATGGTAATAATTAGAAAATAAATTATTCTACACAATAGAGCTAATTTATTAACTTCATAACTAACTACTGTCTCCGTTTGGAAAAAGTATTCCTCTTTTGACTTTGTGTAAAAATAAGAAAGTATTAAATTGTAGTTGAATTCCAATTTTGCCCTTGATGTGATAGGTAAAAGTAAGATGTGATGGATAGATTATTAGAGATAAAGTATGATGTGTAGGTAGGTTATGAAAAAGTAAGGGTAAAAGTGGTTTTTTAATAGAAAGTGGAAGTGTTTTGTTGGAAGGGAAAAAAATAAAAGAGGAAGTGTTTTTGACAACGGAGGGAGTACATTTTTTTGTAAGTTGTATTTACTGTATTTTTCTTGAGCTGCACTTCAAATTATTTTTTGATACTACATTATTATTATTTCTTAAAAAAATGACACTATAAAACTTATGAATATTTTTCGATAGTTCTATATAAATATTTTTTGTGAAACAACATTACAATAGTTGTGGAAATAACACAACAATTTTTTTCTCTAAAATAGAACTTTTATTTTTATAACTCACTACATTTTCTGATGTATTGCAATTTTTCCATGAACACTCTGAAATATTTATTGATAATCTTATATTGCAATAAAATTTTCTTTCTAAAATGGAACTACCCAATTTGTGATTTTTTTAATAATTCAATACAAAATTTTCCCCAAAATAGTAATTCAAAAGTTGTGAAAATGACACAATATTTTTTTCTCCGAAACGGAACCCATAAATTTTATAAATCACTACAATTTTTTTATTGTAATTTCTTTCTTGATCGATACTCTGAATTATTTTTGATAATTCAATACTATATTTTCCCAAAACAATTAACAAAATTTGTTAATCGTTAGACAAATCTCTAACAAGAGTGTATTGTTATATTTTTAAAAATATTAATTTTAAATTCAAAACTAAAAAAGTAAAAAGTAANTTTTCCCCAAAATAGTAATTCAAAAGTTGTGAAAATGACACAATATTTTTTTCTCCGAAACGGAACCCATAAATTTTATAAATCACTACAATTTTTTTATTGTAATTTCTTTCTTGATCGATACTCTGAATTATTTTTGATAATTCAATACTATATTTTCCCAAAACAATTAACAAAATTTGTTAATCGTTAGACAAATCTCTAACAAGAGTGTATTGTTATATTTTTTAAAAATATTAATTTTAAATTCAAAACTAAAAAAGTAAAAAGTAATTTTTTCTAAAATAATCCCACCTTTCATTTATTTGCAAAAAACAAGCATTTTCAAAAACTTCTGTTAAGTGGCCGTTAGTTTTTTAACGGTGACTCAAAACTCGCACACATGCGAAAAGGTGGGATTATTTCTAGTGACAGTGAAAAGTGGGATTATTTTTGAAAGAGCGCGAAAAGGTGGGATTATTTGAGATAATTTTTCCTTTTTTAAATAAAAGTAGTGAAGTTTGAAATCTATTTTTGGACATATAAAAAATAAAAGTGTGAGTTTAATTTCGGGATATATTAATTCTATTTTTCAACCATTTATTTCTTAAACTAAGTGTGTTTAAATTGTGATTGTTTTTTTTTTCAAATTGAAACTTAATACCCCATATTTATGTAAAATTAATTTATATAGGCATTGCTAAGTGCATGGGGACTAGCATGCAAGGATTACGGCAGCACGGTGGTCATCCCAAAACAGCGCGGCGCATTCTTTCTGAATCCGGTGACGTTGAACGGCCCGTGCGCCGGTCCGATCACATTGCTGGTTAACGGCGTGGTGAGGGCCCCGGAGAAGTCCTTCCTCACGGACGGCGGCCCACCGGATTATTGGGTATTGTTCAACCATCTACGGCAGTTGACGGTCACCGGCTCCGGCACGTTTGACGGTCAAGGTGCATTTGCATGGAGTGTTAACCCCTGCAAAACTCAGAAGTATTGCATCCCTTTTCCGGCGGTATATATTCTTTTGTTTCTTTTTTTCTTCTTTTAAGAGTGTTTGACCATTCTAATTTTATTATACTCCGTAACATAAATGCTAGAAACTCGTCACGTTTGACAAACAAGTTTCGAACAAGATACTTGTTAAATGTTAGTTGTGCTCCGAGTGAGTATTGGTCTGGATCCACCAGTGATTAGAGACAATGATTGCCTTTATATATCAACAAAGTACTTAGTGTCAAACTATTGGTGTCAAACTTCGTGGTTTATAGCATAATGTACCAAAGGTTTTTAAAGTCCAATTTGCACTAAATAGGATTAAAACATAAGTCATTTCCTAATGTAGGACTTAAACTTTTGTATTCCCTAAATAGGACTTAATAATGACTAGTGAGAGAAATAATGTCCAGTAATGATGGACATTTACTTGAATAATGACTAATTGATAATGACCAAAGGTCCTATATTAGAAAATGAAAACATATGGTCCTATATTGAGAAAGTCATTATGTTTTAGTCCTATTTAGGTAAGTTTCTCGTGTTTTTATTTAAGTTCCATATCTCGATAAAAATTCTTCACTCTCTCAAGTTAAAGAAACACGATGATACAAATTTTATTCCCTCCTAATTTTCTACATTATCTACAAATCTCTTTTTCCTCCCCTCATGTGCTATGTTGATGGTACCATACCAACCCCTCCCTATAGTACAGTGTACATGCGCCGCGGACAAGAAACAAAGTACAATGGCATCACCCTCTATTGTTCCCAATGCATAGTCTATCATTGATGCTCAATTACGTGCATGTTTGCTTGCCATTATTAGTCCGCCCGTTCAGAACTATCTTCATTGTCAATTATACGAAAACGGATCAAATAAGGAAGAACTTCGAGCATCGTCGGACTCCAAGAAAAGGGGAGGCAAAGAGAGAAGAAAAACTTCGAGTGTTTCCGGGATCCAAGAAAAGAGAACAGAAGAGGGTTTTGATATTCCTTCTCATTGATTAAAGGGTTACAATATATAGAGAGTAGAGATCTCCCAATTTGACCTAGGGCTCGGGCCTGTACTACACCCTAATTTAGATTAACTATAAAATATTAATAAAGAATACTAATTAATAAATAATATAACAAATATATAATCATATCATTCTCACCCCCTTAAAAACTATATTGTCCTCAAGGGGGAGGCTTCCACTCGTACATCTAGACCAGAGAGAGAATGATAAACCAAAGGAGCAGTCCGCTCTTTGAATCTTCAACCTACTTGCCTCACAGAGCAAAGTGAGGGAAATATAAGATAGAGCCAATAACATATATAGTTTCACTCAATGAAATCAGGTGCTCTGCCTTGATCACATCGATAATGTCAAATAACTTAATGCTGGCAGACGAAACGAGGTTGTCCTCTTGATTATTATCTACATCTGCCACCTTGTCGATAATTCCCAAAACATCAAATTTTGCACTGGCTACACCCTCCGGGGCATTTATTGGCAAAAAAAATGTACTTGATGTTGGATTTAGCGTGTAGGGTAACAGCATCTTCAACATTAACTTCTTCATTTTTCCAGCTTCTGGTCTACTGTCTTTGTCCTCTCCAACATGAATTACTCGTAATTATCTCCACAAATATTAAATCAAAATGGCAGGCTACTTGAAGCAATTGGCTTTGGTGGCAATGGTTATGCTGCTGGAATATGATGATGAAGCAAGTAGGCAACAATATCTTGGATGTCGTGGTAGTGTAGGGCAAAACCCTAGGTAGCGGCGGCACTTTAGGTAGCGCTAGATTGATGTTGTTGGTCCGGTCCTAAATTTACCTTTTGGGCCCTATTTTATTTTTTCGGAATACTTTTCCTTTAATAATTATTAACAAATTTAAAAATATGGGGCCCTAAAATTTGAGGGGGCTTGTGCGGTTGGCCACTTTGCACACCCTCCAGGCCACCCATGATAATACCGATGAATGGTCACAATATATAAACAGTAGAGATCACTCTATTTGACCTAGGGCTACTAAACCCTAAACTAGATTATCTATAAAAAAATTAATAAAGAATACAAATTAATAAATAATATAACAAATCTATTCTCATATCAGTCAAACCATCGCAACAATTATATGGAGTCATCTTCAACTTCAGCATAATTCTCTCTCTCTCTCTCTCTCTCATATTTTTAGGTTAAAAGATCAAATTCATACTCCCTCCGTTTTTTAAAAGTGTTCCTATTTTGACTTTGTGTAAAAATAAGGAAGTGTTAAATTGTAGTTGACTTCCAATTTTGCCCTTGATGTGATGGGTAAAAGTAAGATGTGATGGATTGAGTATTAGATAAAAAGTATGATGTGATAGGTAGGGTATGAAAAAGTAAGGGTAAAAGTGGTTTTTTAAAAGAAAGTAGAAGTGTTTTGTTGGAAGTAAAAAAATGAAAGAGGAAGAGTTTTTGAAAACAAAAGGAGTAATATTTAGAAAAACGGGGACTATATGCAAAAATATCTTGATCCTGCTGTCAAAATTGTTGCTATATTGGCCAAATCTGGTATTCTTTACCAGGATGTAATTCTTTGTGTTTTTTGCATGTTACCATGCATCAAAGTATTCATCCATCAAATAGAATATTCAGGTGAACATTGACACAGTCACTCTGGCTTAGGCTATTCATTGGTTGTTAAAAAAAGTGTTAAATTTACACATGGAACAAAAAACCTTCACCTTTGTAAGTCAACAACACCCAGTTATGTGAACACAACCGTTGCCACAAATTTTTGCTTCCGTGGTCGAGGATCAAAGTGTGTGGGTGAGGTGGTCATAATAGTCATGCTGGACAACCCAGTGGTCTGTTGGAGTGCATGAGTTTAATCCTTTAATTTGCTTTCTTAAGTGTTGACTAATAGGTTTTTGTAAGAAATTCCACATCGAAAAATTAAGAAAAAAGTGATAGGGTTATAAGACAGCGTTCCGTTCAACTTATTTTTTTTAGGTTATTATTTGTTCTTATTATAATCAGACCAGATTAGACCAAACTAGATCAAATCAAATCAGATAAAAAACAGCTTTAATCATAACTATAATCACATCAGACCAGATCAAATCAAATCTTTAAAAAATCATATCAGATCGGACGAACAGAATGCAACCTAAGTTCTATAGTTAAACTAGTAATTGATTTGATCAAATCTTTTAATATGGTATAACACACGTGTCTTATGACCCATTCTAGTGACCCTTACTCATTCTTAATTCTATCATGCTATTGGAGCAGGCCGCTTTGGCCCAGCTCGTTTGTTAAAGTGTTTGTCTTGATGTCCATTCCTACCGATACATGTGTATTCAGCTCGTTTGTTAAAGTGTTTGTCTTGGTGTTGCCGCTACATTCTCAAAAAAATTAAGGAGAAGAGAATTCATTTGCAAGTGTTCAACTACTTATATTCAAAATGACCCGGTTGTCTACTTGAGAGTGTGTTAGAGTATCCCACATCAAAAATTAAACAAGAAACTAATTAGTTTATAAGTTCTTGAGTTGAAATAGTAATTGATTATATTCAATCTTTTAATGTGGTTTTGTCCAAGTGTTTTATGACCTAGTCACTAACCCTTAACTCATTCTAAATTCTATCATCTTTGATTATTGACAAATAAAAATATTCAAGTGGCAATTGTTAGTTCTAAGTTAATTGTTGGCTAATATTTTGACAAAACAAACCCCATATTTTTTAGGAGTTTTACTAGACAAAAATCGTTGTGTATGGAAAGCTTGTTTTTTAGACTCATAGAGTTGCTACTCTTTTTAGGATGCAACAACACCTTGTGAAACACCCTATGACAAGATCATCAAACCTTGTGCCTGGAAATAGAGGATGGAATTTAGAAAATTAGAGCCAGAGACCTATTGGGACAACATATACTTATTAGGATTCATTTATTATATTTCCAATAGGTATTTTTCCTAACAAGTATAAATACTTATTAGTTGGATGATTCAATTTCTATCCGGTGTGTGTGTGTGTGTGTGTAGGTGCACGGGTAGGCACAAAAGACTACAAACTCCACTTCCGTAGGGCCGACACAATATGCTAGGTCAAGCCCACCTAGCTAGGAAGGTACTACCTCCGAATGACCTTTAGGGCTGAAAGGCTTGCTTATTGTTGCTGAATTCAAATACTGACTAACCTTTAGCTAACCTCTAGGTTGCAAAGACCACGGGCTAGCTAGATTCGAGACTTAAAGTGAGCACATGCGGATAAACTGCTAGACACTCATTGGTTTAATTAAGCTATCCATCATATATGCAAACAATTTTATGAAATATTCCCTCCATCCCAAATAAAACTTCATGAACTAACTTTATGTTGTAATTGAGAATTATGTAAAGGACAAACAATGATGTGACTTGTTAAATATTTACTCTAAAAGAAATGAAAAGATTATTTTGGGAAAAATAGAAAAGGAAAGAGAAAATTTTATTATAGTACCGAAGTAGAATGAAAATGTTTATTTACAAAATTTAATTAAGGTTTGGTTATTCTTGGAAAACCTTTCTTTTTATTTAATTGAAAAACTTTGATATATATATATATCAATGTGTGTGTGTGTGTTTGTATGTATGTATATTAACATGCATTATATTATACCCCGAGTATGTAATATTTTTTATTGTGTTGGAATAAATAGAATATAAAATTCAATGATGTTAGCAATGGAGTAATAGAGGGGATAAGCTCAATCAATAGCAAGTTTTTTCACATCATAATCGACAACAGCGAGGACATTGAGATAACAGGGGTGACAATATATGCGCCCGAACATAGTCTCAACACAGACGGAATCCACATCGAACGGTCAAGTGGCGTGCGAGCCCACAATCTGGCCATCAGCACAGGGGATGACTGCATCTCATTTGGGCAAGGGAGCAATGACATTGAGGTGTATGATGTGAGGTGTGTTGTGGGTCCAGCCCATTTTATTTGAGTTCCATTTTTCTTTGGTGGAGGGCCCAATTGTGTTTTTACTTTGTTGACTAAAAAAAAGGAGAGTAAAAAAAGGGGCTGGGCAGTGGTGCACTTACGGACAGAGCAGAAAAGAAAAAAAACAGAATAGAGAGAGGAAAGGTGCTGGTGCAGAATTTACAGACCAGCCGCACAAATTCGATCATCTCAGGAGATCCGACCGTTGGATTGAGCTGAAATTTTCAGAGGTTGTTCCCAACACTTAGGGCTTCAATCTGTTCAATTTTCACTTCAATCGGAGCTACGGATCTTCTGTAATCGCAGCTGGTGCGACGCTGCGTTTTTGGGTGATAATCCTGATTTTCCTTCTCTATTGTTGGTGCCTCTTATGTATGTTGTTGTTGGTGGGCTGTGACATCCTTGTAGACTGAGTTTGGGT